CCGACCCTTAATTCTTTAAAATGATGGAATACTTCTAATTAGTATGAAAAAAAAATCTGTCAAATACATAAGCCATTTATAAAACACCCATACAGTAGAACCTCCAGGAGAGAGTACTCCCACTAAAAGACACCTCTTTCTACAAAGGACAGTTTTCATCACCAAAGTTTCCACCAATTAGTTCCACTCCAATTATGCAGCAACCTGGTGTCCTTCCTATAAAGAGAGGTTCGACTGTATATCAATTAGGCCATAAAAAAAAAAGCTGCATGCATAAAGTAAAAAAAAAAAAAAAAAAAACACTTTTTTTTTTTACTTATCCTTTTATTAGTCTAAATTAGACAAGATCTTGGAGGTTGTGCTCATAAAGAAGTTCAAGAACTCTTCTTGGTTCTCTGTAAAGGGATCCTTTGTCCTTTCCAATACAATTAATATATACAGTTATCAGCGTCATGCGTTCTTAATTCTGTCACCGTTTGCTTTTGGTTCAGTGGTAGAATGCTCGCCTGTCACGCGGGCGCCCTGGGTTCGATTCCCGGCCGATGCATTTTTTTTTTTTTTACAATTTTTAAAACTCATTTATATATTATAGTGGCGGGCGCCCCGGGTTCGATTCCCAGCCGATGCATTTTTTTTTTTTACAATTTTTAAAACTCATTTATATATTATACAAGAATGACATCCACGGCGCCAATTTATAATTGTAACGAATAGTATTTGAATAAAAGCATTTAACCGGGTAAAACCCGGGCGTTGCCTGGGTCATTCGGCTAGTTTAGTATATGTTGGGGAGTGCCCTCTTCGATGAAGAGGTATATGGAGTCGTGCATAAAAAACACCTGATATAATGATAAGGCACAATTTGGATTATAGATTATAAACACAAGGTAATAAGACCAAATCCAAATAAATAAATAATGTGTGACGTTTCGGTAACAGCATTGTTACCATCTTCAGACAAAAAGTACTGAATGAGAAATTTTACCACAGCATGTTTTTAAATAGTTACTGTTATCAAGTATGTAAACAAGATAACAGATAAGAAGAATAAGATAGTTTTCTGA